AGATTGAGAGTTTAGATTTCAATTGAGATTATTTAAATGTTGATATTGTAAACACAAAACTATTGATTATAATGGATTGTTCTCCTCTACCCTTGGTTTTTTCCTGAATTGGGTTTCAACGTAAATTTCTTGTGTTCTTGTTTTCTTCTTCATTATTTCATTATTGTTATTATCTTGCGATCCGTTTCGTAAAAAGTGGTATCAGAGAGCGAGGTTGATTGTTCCCCATGGTAACAATGAAGTATGACATTCTGTTGTTGGATAGAAACACGAGATTTACATTATGGCAAGTGAAGATGCGAGTGGTGTTGGCATAGATGGATTTGGAAGAAGCCTTTTTTGGCTTTGATAGGATGTCTGCTGCCTAGATGCAGGATGAAAAGCGGCGTAGGGATTGGAAAGCCCAATCTCAAATTCATCTACATCTCTCGAATCAAATTCTTCATGATGTTCTTAAGAAGAATAGTGCCGATGCGTTCTGATTGAAGTTGGAGCAACTATGCATGACTAAGAGCTTGCTAGACTTGAAACAACGCTTGTATTCTCACCGAATGTCTGAAGGCGCGTCATTGGATGATCACTTAACTATGTTCAAAGAAATTGTGGTTGATCTGGAGACATTGGAGGTTAAGTATGACGAGGAAGACTTGGATTTGATGTTGTTGTGTTCATTGCTACCATCATATGTGACTTTTAGGGATACTATTCTCTATAATCGGGATACTCTCACCTAGAAAAGGTCTATGATACTTAACTATCTAAGTAGAAGATGAAGCATCTTGTTGGAGGATTTGAAAATCATGCTGAAAGCTTGGTTGTGCGTTGGAGGAATCAAGATAGGAATCTTGGCAAAAATATGAGGGGCAGATCCAAGTCTAGACATGCTGAGTGGACATGTCACTACTGTAAGAAGAAAATGCATATTAGAGCCGATTGCTACGCCATGAGAAATAGAAATAAAGCTACAGAGAAAGTGAAGCAAAATGTTAATACAGCGGAGGCTGATGTTGTAAAAGATGAGCAAAGTGGTGGAGAGCTTCTTGTGATTTTTGACGGGGATTCTAAAAATTGTAATGAATGGGTTCTTGACTCAGCTTGTACTTTTCATATGTGTCCTATCAGATACTGGTTTTCTATATATAAAGGAGTTTCTTTTCATATGTGTCCTATCAGATACTGGTTTTCTATATATAAAGGAGTGTCGAGAGGTGTTGTGATTATGTGAAACAACGCGCATTGCAAAATTACTAGAGTTGGTACAGTCAGAATCAAAATGTTCGATGGGGCTGTCAGAACACTTACAAATGCAAGACATGTTCCAGAACTGAAGCGGAATCTCATATCTTTGAGTGCATTTGACTCAAAGGGCTACAGATATATCGGTGAATGTGGAGTTTTAAAAGTGAGCAAGGGTGCTCTTGTTGTCATGAAGGGGCATAAAAACTCCATACAATTGTACATTTTGCAAGGTTCCACAGTGATTGGGGATGTAGCAGTTTCTACTTCTTCTTTGACAGATGATGAAGTTACAAAACTTTGGTATATGAGGCTCGGGCATATGAGTGAAAATGGGATGGCGGAGTTAAGTAACAGGAGACTTCTTCATGGGCAGAAGACCAGCAAAATAGAGTTTTATAAGCATTGTGTATTTGAGAAACATAAGAGAGTTAGATTTACTAAAAAAGACACAACACGAAGGAAAACTTGATTATATCTATTCAGATGTTTGGGGACCAGCCAGGGTACCATCTAAAAGTGGATATTATTACTTGTTAACAGTAATTGATGACTTCTCTAGGAAAGTTTGGGTATTCTTCTTGAATCAGAAGAGTAATGTGTTTGAGACCTTCAAGGAGTGGAAAACATTGGTAGAGAAACAGATCGGAAAGCAAGTGAAATGTCTACGCGCACCGATAATGGATTGAAGTTTTGTTAAGATGAATTCAATAGCTTCTGTAGGGTTGAAGGCATCTTGAGACAATTTATAGTGCCTGGAACTCCTCAACAGAATGGTGCGGCATAATGGATGAGCAGAACCTTGATGGAAAATGTTCGTTGTATGCTTTCAAATTTTTGGTTGCCTAAGTCTTTTTGGACTGAAACTGCTACTACAGCTTGTTTTCTGATTAATCGCTCACCCTCAGTTGCCATTGATAAAAGACACCACAAGATGTATGGTCCGGTAAACTTTCTTTCCATTTTGATTTACAAATTTTCGGTTGTTCTGCTTATGCTCATGTGAATAATGGGAAGTTGGAGTTTAGGTCTAGAAAGTTCATTTTTCTTGGATATAAATTAGGTGTGAAAGGCTATAAGTTGTGGTGTCCCAAGACTAAAAAGGTGGTTGTTAACAGGAATGTAGTATTTGATGAACTTACTATGATTCGTGGTTCACCTCTTGGGAATTCTGATAAAGTTGATGAGCAAAATCACTCAACTCAAGTGGAGTTGGAAATTGGTTCAGAGAAACAATCAGAGGTTGCAGAACAGCTTACTACAGATAAGTCCAGTTCGGGATTGACAGACAATAATATCCTGCCTACTTTGCCTATATCAGAAGCACCACGGTATTCTATAGCTAAGGATAGACCTCGCAGACAAATTAGACCTCCACAGAAGTATGTGGAAGCAGATTTGGTAGCTTATGCATTGAGTGTGGCTGAAGACATTGATTTCAATGAGGAGCCTGCTACATATTCAGAGGTAGTCAGTTGATTCTAGCAAAAGGATGACTGCTATGCAGGAGGAGATGGAGTCATTGAGCAAAAATAACATTTGGAACTTGGTGAAATTACTTAAAGGTAAAAGAGTTGTAAATATGTGTTCAAAAGAAAGGAAGGCACATTAGGGATTGAAGATACTAGATACAAGGCTAAATTGGTGGCAAAAGGCTACAGTCAGATTCCGAGCGTTGATTTTATAGATGTGGTCTCACCAGTTGTGAAGCATAGCTCTATTCGGGCTTTACTTGGAGTGACGACTAAGAATGATTTGGAGTTTGAGCAAATAGATGTCAAGACAGCATTCTTACATGGAGAACTTGAGGATAGCCTCTACATACAACAACCGAGGGGTTTATAGCTTCGGAGAAGGAAGATTATGTGTGCTTGTTGAAGAAATCCTCGTATGGATTAAAGTAGTACCGAAGCAGTGGTATAAAAGGTTTGATTCATTCATGACTAATCATGGTTTTGATAGATGTAATTATGCTAGTTGTGTGTACTTGAGAAAGAAAAGTGGTAGATCAACTACATATTTATTATTATATGTTGATGATATGTTCATAGCAGCCAAGGATAAAGTAGATGTTAGAAAAATAAAATTTCAACTCAACAAGGAGTTTGGCATAAAGGATTTAGGTGCAACGAAGAAGATTCTTGGAATGGAGATCTTGAGGTATAGAAAGGCTGGTAGATTGTATTTGAGTCAAAAGGGGTATATTGAAAAGGTGCTCGAAAGATTCAACATGGTGAAAGTTAAGGCTGTCAGTACTCCCTTGGCTACTGCCCACTTCAAATTATCATCTAACTTGTGTCCACAGTCAGATGAAGACATTGATTACATGTCTTGAGTTCCTTACTCCAGTGCAGTTGGTTCGTTCATTCTATGGTTTGTACAAGACCTGATTGGCATAGACAGTTAGTGCAGTTAGCAAATACATGGCTGATCCTAGCAAGGAACGTTGGAAAGCAGTGCAGTGGATCTTTAGAAACTTGATCGACTCTTCAAATGCTTGTTTGTATTTTGGTAGAAATTCAGATGGAATCATAGGTTATGTGGATTCAGATTATACAGAGGATCTTGATAAGAGGAGATCGCTTACAGGGTATGTGTTTACTCTTAGTGGCTGTGCTATCAGTTGGAAAGCTACTTTGCAAAATACAGTGGCTTTGTCTACAATAGAAGCAAGGTATATGGCCATTACAGAAGCATGTAAGGAGGTTATGTGGTTGAGAGGATTGATTGGTGAAATTAGTGCAGACTTGCAGATATCTACAATATTCTGTGATAGTCATAGTGTAATTTTCTTAACTAAGGATCAAATGTTTCACGAGATGACTAAGCACATTGATGTGAGGTACCATTTTGTATGTGATGTGATTACTTGTGGTGATATTGTAGTAAGCAAGGTTGATACCAAGGATAATCATGTTGATATGATGACAAAATCACTTCCCATTGCTAAGTTTGAGCATTGTTTGAACTTAAAGGGTGTTTTGTTTGTCATTGATGTAGTCCATTGGGGCTTGTTTGAAAAATGAGAAGTGATGTTTACTTGAGATGTGTTTTAATTTCTTGTGATAGAATTTGGCTCAAGGTAGAGATTTGTTGTGGTGTGATCCAAATTTCATGTGATTTGGTATTTGGTTAATTGAAGAAAGTCTAAGGTAATTGAGTTTGTAGAGTTCTAAGTTGTGAAGATCAAATTTCAATATTAATTAGGAGTTTGGCTTGAAAATGGACTTTTGGATGACAAAAAGGCATGTTTTAGAATATTTACTTGAGAACTAGCGCCCAAACATTAGGTACATAGCGCCTAAGCGCTAGGTGTATCATCGAGGCACTGTTACAGTAACTTGATCTCGATTTTTCCTTTTTATCCGAATTTTGGGACTTTTTCTCCATCTTGGACTCCAATAAGAGAGTTTATATATGTTTCTACATTGTATCTTCATAATATAACATCCATATATTATTCTTCACATCTTCAACAACATATTGATAGATTGAGAGTTTAGATTTCAATTGAGATTATGGAAATCTTGATGTTATAAACACAATACTATTGATTATAGTGATTGTTCTCCTCTGCTCGTGGTTTTTTCTCGAATTGAGTTTCCACGTAAATTTCTTGTGTTCTTGTTTTCTTCTTCATTATTTCATTATTGTCATTATCTTGCGATCCATTTCATAGCACATAATGTAAGGCTTTGTACGTATACATTGATCCTCAAAGTTATTGTTAAATGAAATTTCGTATCATTTAGCAGTTATGAACACAACAGGAAAAATATGGCAAATATTTGTCCTATCAACAAATGAAGCTGCACAGATTTGCTTATTGGAGAATTGTTGCTGGGCTGTTGTGGCGTTCCTGTCGGCGACGATTGAGATGGTGGTGGAGGTGAAAGCACGGGGATGTCGCAGGTACCGAATGTAGCATTGGCCTGTCACGTTTGATGCAACATTTAATCAAATGGCAGTAAAATAAGTAGTTATAGAACATCTACTTTCCCGAGCTAATATAAAAAATAAGCATTTTTTACAATACATTTGAGGTGGGCTATGTCTATTAAATGATTTGAAGACCATGAATAAAAAAATAAAATGAAGGATTTGACAAATCCCATGTTTTGTTTTTAATTTGTTAGTATTGTGCTAATTGCAGTACATATGACAATATTAGTACCAAACCTTGCAATAGGAAATGCTGTCGCAACCACAAGTAATATGTCCATTTGCTTCATCAACAGCTTCTGGGGCTCCTCCTCCATCACTCCTCTGCAATACAAAATCTCTGTTTTTGGTAAAGCAATTTTAGGAAAAAAAAGTATATTTTGTCGAACCAATGGGGGAGGTTTCAGCGGTCGGCACCTGATAAAAGTCGACTGCTATGAAATTCGGCCAGCGCTTTCCGGATGCTTCATAACAAGTTGTCATCATACTAGTTAGAGGAGCAGAATTGTCTGCACAAGCACTTGTTACATTGGGATTTTCGGGAAAGTAATTCTGAAGAACGAGTGAAATTGATGATGTGTTCATGGGAGATGACTCTGAACGACTTGGACAAGAACCAGGTATCATCCCACCATTGCCATCTGAAAATTGACCATTTTGTCAATGTCGGAAAAATGATTTTGAAGAAATGAATTTGCAATCATTATACTGAACTCATTGAACGATAATATAACTTACACTGATTTTCAACTACATATCGCCATTCATAAGCAATCCCTTCGGAAGCCTCCTTAGACGATTTAGAGGTGAAGACTATGAGGCGTTGATTATTCCGGACCATATCATCGATTGTTGGCCAATCTTCACCATTTTTAGGCATTTTAGACAGTGGAAACCAGTAGTTGCTGAGTCCAGATGCATTAAACACCTTTGTCAAGCCTTGTGGAGATGTCACATAGTCTTCAATGAAAATGGTGACAATTTCTGTGGGATTTTGTTCCAGAAAAACTTGAATTTCTTTCAGCACGTTAATTGCAGGTTGCTGGAAGATCCCCCCCAAAAAAAAAAAAAAAAGAAATTTCTTAAACATGATCACCTTGTATATGAGAAAGAATAAAACATATATATAAAAATATGAAGGCACTGAAATACTTACAAAAGCTGTGATATTTAAGCACCTTCCACCAAAGGAGTGACATAACCAAATGTCCCCGTCGAAGTCATACATATCAAGCATAAGCCCTCGAACACCATTCTATGAAGGAATATATATTATTAGTTAGATGTGTTGTTCAACTCGATTTTGCTAAAATTTCAATTCTATCGTTTTTTTACGATTGCTTTATCGTCTTATTTAATGTTCAGACGCTGAATAAACAAATTAACTATCGTACATGGAGTTGTGCAAATTATTGTTGACATAGTAAGTAGTACAGTTGCCCTCAGGAGAAACTAGTGATGATTGCCATGAATTATAGGTTACACAACCAGGACCAGCCCCGCTTCCCCTTCTTCCGGGGACTCTTTCGGTTAGGACTCTTTGATTGGTGTCGCTCACGCGGGATGTATGTCACTGATTTGTGGAATCTTTCCTCAATCCACTTAGACGGATGCCTTGCATTCTCTCTTAAGAGACTCTATCAAGAAAGAAAGGGAAGCTGTTGGGTTTTGATACCCAATAAATCCTAGACAATAATGTTAAAACAGTTTAGAATATATTTCACAGGCCTCGGCCGATGAGTGAAATAATTATCAATACAATCAATTTAAGGGTACTTACAAAAATACCCTTAAAATTGGGAATGTTTTGAAAAATCATATGAAAAGTTTTTAGAAAGTAAAAAATACTACGTAAAATAAAAAAAGTGACACAATGTCACTTTTTTAATAAAAATTGTCACTTTTTTTACTTTTTTAAAAAAAGTGACAAACACTCAAAAAGTAATACAAACTCAAAAAAGTAACAAACTCAAAAAAAAAGTGACATACCAAAATAATATCATCCATTTGTGTAATACCAGTAATCATGTTCTTAAACTAATCAGCACGTCTAGGACAATCCATATGCTAATTATGTTAGGAAAATATAACATATTATTTTACTTTTTTATCTTTTTAAAAAGTGACAAAAAAATAAAAAAAGTGACAATCTAAAAAAGTGACACAATGTCACTTTTGAAAGTTAAGTGACATTTTTTTATTAAAAAAATAAAATACAATGTCACTTTACTAAAAACTGACGTTTGTCACTAAAAAAAGCGATAGAAATTAAGAATGTGACTAATAAACACTAAAAAAGTGACAAATACTAAAAAAAAGACAAAAATTTAAAAAAGTGGCTAGCAACGTTCTCTCTTATAAGTCCATCCACATTCATTAGCTGCATTATAGTCTTGGGCACAGCATTTTTGATCCCCACATGAGCCACAACATCCACAAATCTCTTATGCAGCTGAGGAGTCCAAACAAGCCGTGGCCGTTTAATTGCTGATCAACTCCTTGGAGCAGATTTTGACCTTCAATTGCATGAAAAACGTCAATTTCACTCACCCATTTTGTTCTTGAGTCCAATCCCGAAATTGGTCCGTTTAATTGAGGAACTGATGCAATTGATGAATGACCCATTGTTATACCAACATTAATTGAAGGTTGGATGCTAGAATTGATGGGTTGAAGTCTTGGGAGTCCTCAAATGACTGGGAATAGACGGAACCTGTGCATGAGTTGCCTTGCTTGATTCGTCCATGTTGGTTCGAAATTGGATATTACCCATGGGTTCATTGGATGAGCCATGATGAGGCTGTGGTGGGGGTGGTGATCCACGACCATGGGTTGCATCGATGGCATCGGAAATAATGATCGAAGGGTCTGAGTTCATTGTGGAGAAAAAATTCTGCAAATCTGAATTTACAGTTTTGTTTGTTGTTATGAAGACATTTGTAGGTGCACCATGAAGAGGTTGATCGACCTGTAGGGTAGGTATGACATGGGTGTTGCCGAAAGTCAAGTTTTAAACCAAATTTTGGTGCGTGTTCAGTCGATTTTGGCTCAAATTTTCGGCCGATTCTGGTAAGTTTGAAGCAAGATGTTGGGTGAGAATTGTAGAGGGTGATGAGAGCTTTCCAACGGTATGGTGATCCGATGGTTTGGGTGGTGGTTGGACGAGTTTTTGGGCGTCGAAAGAGGCGGCTCCATTTCATGTGGCACTCAGAATTTTTGTTTAAATTTAGAACGTAATTAATACGGGTTCATGTGATGTTTAATTAATTAAGGGTTTTTTTAGAGTATGAGGCCTAATTTTCCCATTAATTTATATGCTCGACTCGAAAGCAACGTGGGCTACTAGTAGCAACTTAATTTGCTAATGTTGCTATGGCCCAAATTCACTTATAGGATGGCTTTCTTGTATCTTGGCCCAATTGATGATATATCCTAACCTATATATAGCCCTTTTCATAGTGTGGAAACGTGTGCGCACTTTTGCTTTGAAGAGAAAACCGTGGTTACTTCTACCTTCTTCTTTGTGCCTTTTGCCTCTTCTGTTTCTCTTTGCCTTTTTGGCTTTGCAAATCACCACCATAACCTTGTACTTTTGTGGGTGAGAAAGGAAGAAAGCAACCATAAGTGAATACAAGTTGTGGGTCAGAGTTGTAATTGATTGTTTGATATCGATTGGTAAGTTGAAACTGAGCCCGGATTCCACAAATTGAAGGTCCATTCCGCGACAGAAGCCAACAAACTCATAGATGCCCACTTGTTTATATGATCAGAAAGTCTGTCGACATGTAGTACCCTGAAGTGCGGATTTGAACCTAATGATGCACTGTCTCCACAGCCTCACCATGAATGTGAGTTCAGCAAAATTAACTTGAGCATGAAAATTAAAACTGAATTTTATGTGAAAAGTAAGTTAGAAAAACCAAAAATTTCTAACTACAATGACTGACTACATGATTCACGTTTTACTAACGGCTTGAAATTACAAAATTGCAAACTCATGTCCTAATTTCCACCAATTCGGAAAAAAGGGATAAGGGTTCGTGTTTGGATACTAGCTAGCAAATAGTGGAGTCATTTTTCACTTGAGCGTAATGCTCACGGAAATTCAAGATTTTGAACTTTACAGTTATGAAAGTTGTTTCTTTTCACGAAAAACCACATCCACTCGTGCCTACCGATGTTTTTTTTTTATATGTATTAGAGGAAATTGTTGTTGAGGTAGTAGCGGTACTGAAAGGAATCAAGGCATGTGTTGCACACAATTTCTTTAAAACAGATTCGCCCCTTATTGTGGTATAAGAGGACTAATGGTGTATGTCTCACAGGATACAACGGTTGAAAGTATGTGATTAGCACCTAATCACTACTTTAGTCGAACTAAGAATGCTGACAATTCTAAAACCAAGTTATAATAAAGAACTAAATTATCTAAGTTACTAAAAACTAAACTCCCGAAACAAAGAAAAGAGCGAAATTTAGAGCATCACTACTTTAAGCGAACTAAGAATACTTACAATTTTAAAACCAAGTTATAATAAAGAACTAAACTATTTAAGTTACTAAAAACTAAACTCTTGAAACTAAGAGAGGAAGAAAATTTAGAGTGAAGAAAGAACTCTCAAAATTTTTTGGTGTGTAGAATAAGGAGAACTCTTCTTTATAGAGTATTAGGATGAGGGAGGTTTCAAATTCTTAATTAATTTTGTATTTAACACAAATAATATTAAAATAGCCATGAATGAACTTGTAACCAAAAATTGATTATGGAATTAAATCAATTCAAATACAAATTAACTATAAAAAAAGGATGAACCACATCCTTAGCGGCCTCCATCTGCCCTGGACCTTGGTGAAGGAGGTAAATCGCAGGTTATGCCTCAAAGAGTACATGGTGGAAGACTACTTGTACACTTACACTTATCCAATGGTCAAATACAAATTAACTATAAAATTGACTAGACTTGAAACATATGAATTGTTTTTAGGGATAATTGCACTCGAGGTACAAAACATTTTATTTAGTAGCAAATTTAGCCCCAAATCTTTTATTTGAGCCATCGTAGATACCAAACTTTTAAAAAATTCGTAGGTCGAGTTCAAATTGACAGAAACTGTCAATGCGACCGTTAGTTGACAAAAAAAATAGAAAATTTCATAATTTTAACCAAATAAAACAAGGACATTTTAGCCAACACACATTTACACTTCTACAAAAAATTTTAAAGGTTTGTTATCTATAGTGGCACAAATGAAAAGACTAAATTTACTACTAAATGAAATGTTTGATACCTTGACTGCAATCATCTCTTGTTTTTATAATTTTATTCAACTTAAATATATTGCTATATTAATCTAATATATTATTTTCTAACAAATTCAATAATTAATTTTAACCATATATTTAATATAATTCACAATTTTATCAATTTTTATCTACATCAGGGGCTATAATTCATATCGACAATTATTTTCCGACATTACAACAAATTTGCATGTGGACCGCGTAGGTGAGAAAGGCAGGTGAGATGATATATGCTTATTTTCAAAGTTGCAATTCCAACCTAACCAACGATCAAATAATTTATAATCCCTTCAAAGACAAACTGCTCCAGACAGCTGAAAAGCATATGATACTATGCACATACAAATATTAAATTATTGATAGCACAGGCAATGCTCAATGTTTAACCGATGATGTCCTCTACTGAGAATTTGATTAATTTTAAATTCTAATAAATTTCGTGTATTTAAATAAATATTCACAAAATTTATAAGAATCTCATTAAAAATATGGTGAAATTTGAAAAGACGTTATATATATTTTGAAGCTTGAAATCCATATCAATCTTCTAAAGTCTATATATTGATGAAAATCATGAATAATTGAAGGCGTCTAAATTTTAATGGATTTCATTAAAACCTCATTTGGAGACATTTAGATCTTAATAGATTTCAGTAAAATCGACTAAAATCTCAATGGAAAACACTTGAATTTAGATTTTTTTTAAAAATATATCAAAATCTCGTCTAAAGACAGATCCTAAAAGGTGTTTGTGGGATATTAAAATTAGATTTTTAGTGGATTGTGTTAAAAGTTTTTGAAATGTGTGGTTGAAAAAAATGTGTAACTCATGAAAAAATGTGGTTAATATTAATTGTTTGACTTTGACTTAGATTAAAATCAGATTTTAATCCGGCTCCAGACGAGATGATTAACGTTGAAGTAATGGACGGCATGACTAAATTACATGAATAAATAAACTTACATACTTTGAGTTGATCGGTAACGGAATCTTCTTGATTGGTCGGTGCCAAGAGAGTTGACCCGGTCCCGGACGTTGACGCAGTCCGAGCAAACGAGTTGTGGGTAGTCAGCCATGAATACTTATTAAACGGCAGACCATTTACCTTTTCCATAGAACACAGAGAAAAAAAAAATGAAAGAAAGATAAGAAAAACCCATAAAAATGAACCTATAATCCAATGAAGAAATGGGAAATAATATAAGTTGAAAAAAATATTAAATACCTTAGTAGTGGGAATTACGGGTTGACTCCGAGTACATCTGGGTCGGGTGTTTCCATTTGCAGGGCAAGTTCCACAGTGTAATCCGGCATCACAGTTGTTGTCTGTCGTAGAACATGTTTCTCCAATCTGTTGAATATAAACAAAAGGATGATTTAAGTGTTTTGTATAGTTAGATTCTCGGAAAACAAATCGAAAATGGAGGCTATAAATTCCTTTTTTTTATTAATTCTGTTCTAATGCGTTGAAATGAACATAGACCTTGAGACTGGAAGAATAAGCAAAGAAGAAAACTGTGATCAAGAAAAGAAATTGAAACCCTGCGTTTTGCATGTCTGCATATGGAGTTTCTCAGTATTTTTAGATAGAGAGAGAGAGAGGTCTCTGCCTCTGTATGTCTTCGCTCATCTGTTTTCTAGTTTTTCCATCTAAGGAATTTCTATGATGCTATTGACTTTGGGATTTCCCAATTAGATTAGTACAAGTTGCAAACATGTGAACGGAACTCAGCTGATCCTCCCTATCTTTTTCAAAAAGTGAAAAGTTTCAAATTACACAGCTTGGAATAACAACTTCACCTTCATATTTAAAATTTCGATGATCACAAGGCGAAGGTTTTCCTATTTCAAAGTTGCAGATAACACCTTCGATAAGTACTTTACGTAAATCCTAAGGTTCTCTTTCAAATTCTAATTCTAATATAAATATATGTATTTAGACTTAAATGACTATTATATTATTGTAAAACTAACCACTACAGAAAAATATCCACCCTAACAAAATTTTTGATAACAAAAGTCCATATATCATATGAATAATCATGAATATAGATTTGAGAGACTATTGTTATGCTTCGCCACCCAGACTCCAAGCTAAGGTCACGTGGTGGCCCACATGGAGATATGAGTCCAAGTCGACAAAGTCAACAAAGGCCACAATTGGTCAAAGTAGCATCGTAAAGAAGTGACGAAGTCAAAAAAAGAGATTGAAGCTCGCCGTCCCAAAGCTCTACATGCTGAAGACCTACACTCTGAAGCTCTCTTTTGCCGAAGCCCTTACTTGTTCTCAAAGGATTTGCGGGCAATATTTAGGAATGGTTGATGTGACATTTGTAATAATGAAATGTCTTGTAGTCAGTTTAGGATATAGGTTGGCTGACCTATTGTCATTGTGTTAAATGTGTAGCAAGCTAGTGATGTGAGACTTCGACTTGAGAGAAGAGATCACGAGATTCTTATCTAACGATTATCAATTCAACCAGAACTCTATAAATAGCAACTCTTGTAAACATTTGAAATTTAATGCAAAGTTAGTCTCGATCTTCTCTCTTGCTTATTTCATACTCTTCTTCACTTGAGTTTAGATCATCTTACTTTGGTTGAATTGTTTGTAATTGATTATTAATATGCAATCATTTTTAAATATACGTTTGGTGTTTGAACAATTTTTTTCGCGTCATGGAGCATCTCCCACGTCCATGTACAGCAACCTTCTCCGGCCAAGTTTCTGGTTGTAACACATTGGAATTTGCTCATGCGGATGCAAGGGGGCTCGGCATTTATTTTCCATGTCACCCTTATAAGAAACAAGGTCAATAGAGATTGCTACTTTCTCCAAAATTGGAACTACATATGTAATTTGTTACGGGATCTATAGACCCGCCACGTGTCGGAGAATTGATTCACATCGTACCATAGGGGAACGAGCTGAGAGTTGATTCCCGTTAACACTGAGCGTCTGACGAGGTGAACCTGCGTGGGACGAAGCTTCCGAAGCATCTGACGAACTGATCACCTCACTCCGAAGTGATTCGTGTACGAAAAAAAAAAAAAAAAGAACTCATCCACAGATTCCCGCGGGTGCAAAGGCCCGCACTCTGCATCACCTGTCCTACAAGCCTCTCGTCCCACTTCTGCCAAGATCTTCTGTACAAAGATCCAAATTCCTAACTTATTGATGGAACGTGTGGCAGGACACAAGCGGTCAACTCAACTGCCGTTGTCAGAACATTAAATGTCCTCCAACCTATGGATTGACAAGTGGACACCTAGAATGGGACGACCCTTAAGGATCTGGTGCCACGTGTCTCCTCATCTAACGACTTCCTCTTTCCATCCTTAGTATAAATACCTCCACATTAGTCATGAAGAGGGATCCTCACTAAAAAAGGGGTAACTTTAAGCATTAAAATAGACACATACCTCTCCTATTTTGACTCTATCTTGACAGCTATTACGTTCCGGTTGATCTAAAAAATTGACTTGACCGTCGGAGTATTCGCTGCCGCTTCCAACCCCATCGAAAAAGGTCACTGGTGACTAACGGTGTGTCAGAATGGAGGAAGGAGCCGACGTGAAGACTTGTTCTATTAGCCATGTGTCAGAACCACTTTATGGGGTCAACATAATTTATCTTCAAAATAAATACACTTCATACACAAAATTAAGAGCCCCTTGGACGGAATCTATTTAAAAGCACGTGTGCATCAATAATTCAAAGCTTTGTGACTATTTGTGCTATTTTTCAAACGTTTGTATAAAAAATGCAAGATGGACAAAATTTGGGACCATTTACATCAATGTTCCACCAAATAACGATAAACGTTTAAGTTTAATTAGTTATTTTTTAAACTGAACTATCAATTAAAATAAAAATAAAATTTAATTATATTTCGTTAAAACTTGAGGTGGCATTAGGTTCTTTAACCAGATAAAGATAAGAAACAAAGGACTACATAGTCATATCGAATACTACTTCATTGATGAGGTGTCCAAAGGGTAAGTGTAGTTTGAGTAAGAGTCGTGTGGGGGAATTGTTTATGATAGTCGCATACATGACAAAGTGCGCTCTAAAGCAAAATGCCAAGAAAAACTAGAATTTGATTCAAAATGAAAAAGCTTCTTTAACTTTATTTGTGATTTTACTTGGAATATTAAATCTTTAAATATACGCAACTTTTTCGGTTAAGTGAATGGAAATTGTCAAAATCATAGTATTTCTATTATTAATATGTTAGTGCAGGTTTCCTACGGATTAACTGAACAATTGATATATATATTTTTTACTTCTTTTTATTTATCTAGTAGCCTCGACAATCTTGAACGTGATTAAAAAGAAAAGCATTTAAAAAATGAATAGTGTTATTCATAGATGACGCTTATCGATCAGCGATAATGTGATATTTAGATGACTTTAATTGATTTGTCATTTTAAACGTTGAACTTAAGGGATTGTTGTTCTTATCGTTTTCAAGTCATTTTCTGTTTTCAATTTTTCAAAATAGTGAACACGCGTTTTTGAAAGCAAGTTAAAAATTTATAAAGAAAACTCAAAACGACAAATTGTCGTTTTGTATGTTTTCTGTTATAATCAAATCAAAATTTTCAAAGCGTGTTTTAGGTGTTTTCAGTTTAATGTCACCCCAATCACCACCAACGCCGCCTGGACCACACCACTGCCGCCGCCACCGCAACCACCAAGGGAGGGGAGAGAGAGAGAGAGAGAGAGAGAGAGAGAACAAGTTTTCCAATTTTTGGTTTTTGAAAATAATTTTTCAAAATGTCAAAAAGAACACATTTTCAACAATTTCAAAATGGACACTCAAAAATACAAAATTCAAAATGAGTTCAAAACTCAAAATACAAAATTGAAATATAAAGAGAACAGCCCTTAAGCGTTTATAAAATATCAATACTCATAAAACAAATTTATATTCTAATATATGAACTAATAATACATACACTTAATCCGTCCATTGAACAAAATTTTTTATTTAGAGGTACAAAATTGACCATAGAAGAATTCCCATTTGAGTATGGAAAGTTTCAAGTGGATATACTTCCCTTGAAACTTCTTCTCTTCTAGTTTATGACCAACTCTTGTCATGAATTATTCACTAACCTTAGATTTATCCACTCCCCCACCCAACCCACCTTAGGTAAGAAAGCAAAGATAATGTGTGCCTAAATCATTTATTTAAGACGACTTTTACATGCAAGTGGACTGTGACTAAATAAAATAGCCAAGTTTTTCACTAACATTCATGAATCCTTAAAAGGTCTGATATCATCACAATACATAAGATCAAATAATGAGAACAGAGTATTATATAATTCATAGTCTAAGGACACGATTATTATATCGGTAACTCTGATAACATGATTTATCGAGATCTCTTAATTTTTGTGAACGGAAATCCCTTTAGGCTGGTATAATAACATGTACTTGTCGAAGTATTGAAATCGATTTGATTATGAGAAATGCTATTCATCTCCACTGGGGATGCATCCCCAGTCTATGTTGCGTTAATGTGGCATTAAATGATAAGTGAAATTAAATAAATTATTTAATTTTACCTATCATTTAACCAATCATTTATATCCACATAGACTGGGGATGCATCCCCACTGGGATGAATATCATTTTTCTTTGATTATATATTTATGTTTCATTGTTTGTTAGCGTTTTTTGTTACAGATTCAATGAATGTTAGAAGTCTCGATAAATCACATTTGGAAATGGGCAATTAGGAGGAATTTCAAGATGGTTGCCTAACACATCCAGCACAACTGCAAATCTCAACTTTGGAGCAAAATTTGTAATATTGAGTAAATGTTACCATTTCTCTAAACGAAATGGTTAGATCGACTATACCGTGAGACAGTATTAAAATGAATAAAAAATTAAAATTTCATCTACAGTGTTCAATTATGTAAACATGGTCTAATAGTTTCTCTATCAATTTTATGTACAGGAAAAAAAAAGGTCAGGCCTAGAGAAATAAATCTCCAAAAATGCGAGTCTTCAATCAAGATTTTCGCATCATCTAACAGTGAGCCATTCGTCCGAATCGAACCAATGAAGCTGATGATCGCTCACTAGTCCCTGCAGCCTCTCCACCGGCGGAATAGACATTGACCCAGTTGTCAAATTCGCCTCCTCGCAAAACCAAGAGCCAGATTCCAATGAATATTCCGGCGAGGGCAAAGATGTAATTGTCCAATCTGGGAAATCAAATGGACACTTAGGAGAGGTCGAGGCATTATATTCATCATGTCTTTCTTTCAATGCCACAGTGTCATCGAAATCTTGATCATCAACAAAGGAATGATTTAAAAGCATCTCAGCCGTCCATCTTTTACTTGGGTCATTAGCAAAACATTTTTCCAGAAAATCTTTTCCTTCTGATGATAAATTTTCAGGCACCTCCGGCACCTCCCCACGAACGCCTATTCTCATCAGTAGCTCCGCCACGCCGGAACACCTCCATGGAGAAGCTGCACCGACCATCTCCGCCACAACACATCCAAGTGCCCATATGTCAGCCGGAGGACCCTGCTCGTTTCTGGTGGCCATCTCCGGAGACATATACAGCGGTGTACCCCTCAATTCACACCCAAAATCATCCACTTTTTCTCTTCCAACTCTCTTCGCCAAGCCAAAATCCGCAATTTTTACACCGCCGTTTGTGCCCAGAAGAATGTTCTGAAGCTTAATATCACAATGAACATAACCAAACTTGTGAATATAATTAAGCCCTTTAAGTAAAGCCTTTGTATACCGCCGGACTTCACTCTCCGGCAGCCGACTACCCGGGCAATTCTTCACCTTATCAGCCAAAGCACCGCCGGAAGCATACTCCAACAATACATTATACAATTTCTCACCGTTTTCATCAGTAAAATCTTCTCCAAAGCAACGAATGATTTCTGGGCAATCTTTAAGCTCATCAAGTATCAATTTCTCGTTCATAAGCGAATCAGAAAGAGACGCCCCACAAGATTTCACGGCCATCACTGGTGGAATTTGACAGCTCCGGCTTCTGGGTATAGCTATATTCACCGTTCCAAAGCTTCCATTACCCAATTTTTCACCACGAACCCAGTTCATTGCAGACTGTAATATCAGAAATACCCAATTTTTTTCGGTGTATCGGTTGTTCTTAGCTTTTCTTGAAGAGAGAAAAGAGAGTTCAAGAACTAATTGAATTGAATAACAATAGGGAGTTCTGTAATGAATTTATATACACGAGGACTTGCGGTTTATTAATCGTTTGCAAAAGTTACCCAAAAACGTGCGTAAATGGATTTGTTAGAATAAATAAAAAAAGCACGTGATCGTGAAGGATATTTCGCGCTGAATTCGCATGGCTGAAATAGCGTCCTCCAGTTTTGAACGTGTGTGATATGGTTGGAATATTATTGAGGATCCTTTTCTTTTAACAATGACCACGCAATTCCATTTATTTATTCAAAAAAAAAAAATCACCGGTTGATCAACTGAACAATATAATAAATAAGATATTATTTACTATATCAGTATAAGTCTTTTTTTTTTAATTCATTTTTAATCACACGTTCTCTCAATAAAAATATTTTTGTACGTAAGTCTAATTTTTTTTTTTTTTTTAATCGTACGTTCTCCAAAAAAATAACTATTACAAAACTCATATTTACGAAAAATAAAAAATAGGTTCAGACATAGCCTTAACGCCAAAAATAGGCTAAATTATTGTCCTTCATTAGTACTTGTATGTGTAATCCCGCATTACAAAATGTAAAGAAAAACTTTATTTCAAGAAAATACTCATCTAAGTTAATTTAAATTGCATATTATTTTGTTGATTTATTAAGCCCCTATTTGTTTCCAATTATTTCGACAAGAAAATACTTTTTTTGACCTTTTTTTTTTTTAAATTGTGGGGTCCACTATGACACAAAATTGTCAAATATTGTGGCTCACCATTACAATCAACAGTACAAATTCTGCTTTTCATTGGAAACAAACAAGGGCTAAATTTTACTTACTTCCAATCCTATGATCGTACACTATGAAGTTTAAAAGCATATTTAGGAAACGTTAATAAACTATATTGTTTATAAATAGATAAAAATAAGTGATGTATATGAATAATACTTGTAAATTCATCGAAAATGTGGATAACAAATAATTTAATTATTTATAAATATAAGTCAAAGATAGATTAAATAATTATAAACTTGTAAACAGATAATCCAAAAGTGTAGTTTTTTATCAAACTGAGACTCCAATTGGATTTGTAAACAAGTTGCGTCTACTAGAGCTTGATGAAAACGTCCATTTTATCCATTGCTTGCAGTGATGCCCAACGCACTTGGGATGTTTCGTGATGGTTACAAATTGCAAATAATTGGCAAAGCTAGGAATCGAATAAAATAATAGAATCTCGTAATTTAAATTTAAATAGTATTGATTAAGAAAATGTGCATTACGTTAATACTATAAGGGAACTGACTGAACATGACAATTGACAAATTAATCATACGTATTTATATCTTCGGCCGTATCTCACATGTCTATTTGAATGTATCAAACACGTTTTCAAATAAGTAAACGAGCAAAATACCTCACAATTTTAAGTCATTTTAGCCCTTTTATATTATTTACTAGTAGACTTTAAAGATTCTTAAATGCTATGCATCTATCTTTTGAAATATCTTTTGGCATAAATCAAGTTCAAACAATTGATTGACTTTCACAAGTTTTGATTGTTACCAAGTAAACAATTATATATTTCCTCATTAAATATTTAGAAGGTTTGAAACTTGATTGAAGCTCCAATTGATTTTGAACAAATTTGGAACAAGTCAAGTCATGTACTATTTGAAGTATAAGGGTGGGTGGAACGTTCCATCCAATTTCTAGCATCGAACAAGATAATCACGGTGCAGAATTGCTTCATGCCATGTATTGTTTGTAGAGAGGCGGATACTGTAATGTTCAGTTCTTTGATTCTCCAGACTAGAACAAAAAAGAGAAAAAAAGAATTAAGGGTCCGTTTGATAGGTAAAGATGGAAAGAAATTCCAATTCTATGTTAGTTGGAAAATAAAAACTCATCAAATCCGTAGGAATTCGTTTTCCATGAAAACAAAGAAAATGCAGTTTAAAGTGGTTGTACCTTGAAATTCGATTTCCATTTTTACGTTGCAATCAAACGACCAAAATGAAATTCGTTTTCCTCGAATGTGACAGTTTTCATGAAATTCATTGCCATCAAACAGAGCATAAGATTACTAAAAATAAATTTGACCCACTTTGCCAAACAGTAAGAAAGAGCCAGCAGCAAAAAAAAGTACTTTGACTTTGAATTATTGTTTCATGATTGACTGAAGAATTATATATTTTTTAAAATTTAATGAAAAGAATATCCTTATCTAGTGGAGTAGGGGTACAAGCATAATAGCATTCACCCCATGAGGAATCTACCACTTGGGAGTCGATCCTGCCTTCTTTGGGGACTATTTTGTAAAATTCATTACATACCTAATTATTAAATGAATGCACCATTTTTGTGAACGGAGCTTATCACATGGAACCTCACAAATTTCCCTGTCGGTGATTTCAGGATAAAGTCATAAAAAGAACGCTAAGAAATTCAATTGATTCTTATCCCACCATTTTTGAATAATTCTAAACTACAAAAATATATATGTTACAATATTTTAAAATAGTCAAGTGGAGATAAACATCAAAAATTGAAAGTCTCGTGGAATTTGAATTTTTTTTTTTTTAATTCAAAGCGTCAAGTCTTGTGGAACTTAAATTTTGATGAATTAATTGAAAAAAAAATAATAATAATATCTATCCAAAAATTAGTGGAGTGGAAGAGAAACTTGGTTCGCAACATTGCACCGCACAAAGACCAATGACACGTTTTCAACACAAAATAATGCCCTAAAATATATTTTATTCATGCGAAACTAGTCTTAATTTGGAGGTATTTTTGGACCATTCTTGTCAGGGTATCTACTATTTAGCTTTGTATGTTTGACTATTTTCGTAATTTGATTTTCTTAGTTCAATGTATTTCTTAAATTGTAAAGTAAAATAGATGTAACGGTAACTAATCCGAGTGAAAAAAAAAAAGCGATAAAATTATGTATGTAATATCACTAAACTTAAGAGTAGTGGAGTAAATTTTGATTGTGTCTAACCAGCTCGACATAGTTTTTGAATATCCCATGCTGATAAGAATACAAATTTTGTAGATTGGATTAGATCGTATGGGATATTGGGATACTCATACAAAATTTTAAGCCCAGTGCGATACAAAATTGGATTAGATAGTTTGGAATCATGCTAATTGTCGAGCTTATGAATATACACAAAATTAATCTATATATTTGTATTTATTTTCAAAAATAGATCTCTTTAGACTCTCTAGCGAGTGCACACCAAAATTTATGTCGAGCCTTTTAACGTACCAAACTTGCAAAGATTCACTTTTAACACTTGCAAAGAAATTGATAAGTGGAAGAATGAATTGACAAAATCTCAACTTTCCCATAATTAGCCAATAAACAAAAGTTTGGATTATGCCCAAAGGCGGCACCAGCGTGAAACAAAATATTTTTGTACGAGATTGAAACATATGAGAATTTAAGTGGACATGGGAAAGTCCAATGGCCCTTGGTTGGGTAAAAATATTCCTCAGATTTGGTTCCAACACACAACGGTGCAACCGCATAGACCGACTAACGTAGGTCAAAGTTAGAACCATCGATTTGGGTCGCAATCAAAACAAGTGAATTCAACGGTCAAAAATCAAGAAATGGCGGCTGAACCAAAGCCAAAAGCCACCGAACCTTTTGGTCTACTGGCCGTTAAGCTACGGTCACTAGCGGTGTACCGCTTTGTCCCACCCAGCAGAAATACATAGGGAGAGGAATAATTATTTTAATATTATAATAATAATAATTAAGACAGTATATATATATATATATAACCAAATAATAACGATACTATTTTTATCATTTGGACAATATTTCGATCATTTTCATAAGTTACATTTATGCCCCGTTTGATTGCACTTCAATTTCATAGAAGGTGGAAATTAAATTTCATTTTCCAACTTTTTTGCATGTTTGATTGCCCAAAAGTTATATGGAATTGATTTTCCATCTTTCACCCACATGTTCACATTTTCTTTGTTTTTGAGGAAAAGCGTTTTGAGGCAACTTTTTTTTAATTTGTTTTGACAATGGAAACAAATTATATCCTCAATTGTAACAAATTTTACTTCTTTAATGGACAATTTTCATGGAAAACAACGAATACCAAAAGATCTAAAATTTCAATATTTTTCAGGTGAAAAATTATACCAATTAAACACAATTAATTGATGATTCCCAGTAAAACAAGTTCTAGACAATTCAATTCCCTGAAATCCATTTTCTTTCCACCCAAATTTCATTCTTGTAATTAAACGGACCCTTGAAAATTTAGTAGCTCTCATGTGAGCCAAGAGTTTTGACTTGTGCATAATGGGCATCATCTCCTACAGCAGTTGTTAGTTGGTCGCATTAAAATTACTTATTTTATTTGATTAAAAAAAAAACATGAAAGAAATAGTATATGAAGTAGAATAAAATTTGGAACAATGAACTAACAATGATATTTTAAAAATTCGAGTTTTGACTAAAACAAACTAAAAAATCGAAATTACATGGAAATCAAAGTTATTTATACATATAAATACAAAAATAAAGTAAACAAAATGAAGAAGTTTCAATCCCAATAATAATAAAAAAAAAAACTCGCAGTGCTTCGATCATTTTACATATTTTTCTTTGTAAATGATCGTGCACCCAACTATATTTCATTCATTTTATAATTTCTCTTTGTTATAAATTTGCCAAACGGAGGTTAAGTATTGTTCTTGTTTGGGCTCCAATTTAACGAGATTTTAGGAAGAAACGTATTTTGAAATAGTGATTTCTTGGAGAACGTGTGATTAAAAAAGAAGAAAAAGTTTTGAGTTTACATGTAATATTATTTTATTTAAAAAAAATACGATTAAAAAGAAGGAAGAGAAAAAAACATCAAAACTGTAATGATGGCCAAACTGAG